ACCGCGTGCCAGAGAACGTGTTGCGGACTCACCTGGCTTGAGCAACATGTACAGAGCTTGAACGCTTTTGGCCTCAAGGTGCACCGACATAGGACCACTGATGACAGCTTTCAGTTCGGAAAAGGCAGCCCAGTTCGCGCCGAGTGTCGTGCATACATTCCGGTTAACATCGGTGACGAGTACATGATAGTCGGAGCGGGCGCGGTGGAGGCCAACATTCCGTTCTTAGCCTCCAATGTACTTCTGGATAAGCTCGGTTTAGTGCTAGACCTACCTGAACGACAAGCACACTTTAAGTACCTCGGGGTTTCCGTGCCAGTGAAGAACTTGAGCGGCCACCTCGCCATTGATGTCACCAGTTTTCATTTTGACTCGTGCAAGGACAGTAGATGGTCGCAGCTTCAGCGGACAGTTGATTGGAACAATCCACCTCCGGAAGCTATCTTCACGCCCAAACCCTGGACGAAAAGTACTTTCCCGAATGCTTCGACCACCTCCGCCATGGATGCAGGCATGGCGCCGGATGGTAGCGGCACTTCGCGGCTACCGGATTCGACTCTGGGCCGGCCTTTCGACTGCGACTCGACTCGGGTTGCTTCCAGCCGACGGCTACGGCACCCCTCTCGAGGACAAGGAGGACAAGGAGATCAAGAAGGAGCACTGCAAGCACGACCCCAAGGACATGCGCCGATACGGCAACATGCACGGGAGCTTCAGCAAGTGCAACAAGTGCGGTCTAAGGTTCCGTTGGCACCCAGACCAAGGTCTTTGGATTCCCGACCGAGATCCTCCTTCCTCTCGCTCCTCTGTGCCGCCGCCGTCTTCCAGCAACATGGTCTTGCCCCACCAGGAACCCAGCCGTTCTCTCCAGAGCAAGGCCAAGCCCAGGCCCTCGACACGTACTACCAGGAGATCTTTGGCGACGTCGTCGACCACCCCTTCGACTACCAGGAGGAGGCCCACGGACGTCGAGGAGGATCCTTGGATGCTCCTGCGGGAGCCCGTGGACAACCAGGAGGACGCGGACCTGGACAGCGAGTTCGATTGGGCAGCCGTAGAAGGGTGACTGGGACAATGGACAAAGCAGTGGCGAGCTACGAGATCGAGCGCAACATATATGATGCGATGGGTCATGCCGGCCAACGACCACCTCCTGCCGTGGACCTCCTGGAGCTCTTCGCCGGCACGGCCAAGCCCACAAAGTTTGCGGCCGAACTTCAACTGCGAGCCCTTCAACCTCTCGACCGCAACACCGGCAACGACCTCTCGGACCCTAAGGTGCAGCGGGAGGTACACAAAGCAATTCAGAGGACCAAGCCATGGTTGGTCGTTGCGGGCTACCCCTCTACACTGTACAGCCTCGCCAACGAGAACTTCAACTACCGCGGACAACCTGAGCAACTACGGCAGCTTCGTGACGATGACCGCCGCATGCGCAGGTTTGTCTCCGATTTGTTTCGTGAACAACATCACCAAGGCCGCTTCTTTCTCCTCGAGAACCCACAGACAAGCCGTTTGTGGCAACAACCAGAAATCCTGGAGATTGCGGACCTCCCGGGCGTATCCTCGGCGGTGTGTCACTTGGGTGCTTTCGGCGCCGAGACTAAGGATGGCCTTCCTGTACGCAAGCCCCTACGCTTCCTCAGCAATATGCCCGAGATGATCACCGACCTCAGCCAAAAGCTCTCGGACACCGACCTTCTCTTCTGCGAACCAGTCCGAGGCCGAGCGGCAGCAGACTCACACGAGTACCCCGACGCCCTCGGCTACAACAT